AGTAGCTGGGACTACAGGCATGTGCCACCATACCCGGTTAATTTTTTTCTATATATTTTTAGTTGGCCAATTAATTTCTATTTATAGTAGAGACGGGGTCTCACTCTTGCTCAGGCGGGTTTTGAACTCCTGATCTCGAGCAATCTGCCCACCTTGGCCTCCCAGAGTGCTGGATTTATAGGCGTGAGCCACTGCGCCCGCCTGTTTTTTCTTTCTTGAGAAAAAGTCTTGCTCTGTCGCCTGGGTAGAGTGCAGTGGCATCATCATAGCTCACTGCAACCTCAAACTCCTGGGCTCAAGTGATTCTCCTGCCTCATCCTCCAGAGTAGCTGGGACTGCAGGTGTGTGCCACCACACCTAGCTAAATTTTTTATTTTTAGTAGAGACAGGGTCTTCCTCTTGCTCAAGCTGGTCTCAAACTCCTGAGCTCAAGCAATCCTCCTGCTTCAGCCTCCCAGAGTGCTAGGATTACAGGTGTGAGGCACTGTACCCAGCCAATTTGCTCTTATTTTTCTAGTTCCTTAAGATGAATGCTGAGGTCATTAACCTATTTTCTAATAGTGCTTTAGCTGCATCCCACAAATTTTCAAATCCCGTATTTTCATTTAGTATACAATATCTTCTAATTTCCCTCTGATTTTTTCTTTAACTTAAGGGTTATTTGGAAGTGGATTATTCAGTTTCTAAATATTCAAAGGATTTTCTATGCCTATTATTGATTTCTAATTCAATTTCATTATGCTTAGAGAATATACTTGTTTCATAGCCCAGAATATGATCTGGCTTAACAAATTTTCTTTACGCACTTGAAAAATTCTGTATTCTGTTATTGTGGGGAGTGTCCTACAAATGCTCATCAGGTCAAGTTGGTTGATAGTGTTGTTCAAGTCTACCATATCTTTAGTGATTTTCTGGGTTCTTGTCCTATCATTTACTGAGAAAGGAATTTTCTCTAACTATAATTGTGATTTAAAAAAAAATATCTCCTTGCAGTTCTATTAGTTTTTGCTTCATGTATTTTAGGGCTTTGTTATTAGGTACATACATGTTTACAATTATTATGTTCTTTTGATGAATTCACCCTTTCATTATTATGAAATGATCCTCTTAATCTCTATGAAATCTAGTGCAGAGGAACAGGTTTGGGGATTATGACCATAAATTCAGTTTGTTTACATATATATGAGGTGATGTATTTAAGATATCTAAGAACAAACAAATAAGGAGAAGAATGGAGACATACAGATTTGGGTTAAGATGATGTTGCTATAGCGGGTACTGCAGTGCCAATAAACAAAGGTGCTCTATAAGTACTTATAAAATAAATAGTCTCAATAGGCTCTGGTTTTCCAAGTAATTACACAATTTAGAAATCTCCATTTGATCCTAGGTCAAATAGGGAGGTCATGTATAAGTTCATGGTCTCCAAACTCAAATGAGCCCTCAAACTATCTCATGTTTTCTAGTAAATTATTAAGTTTCCCAAAATAGCTATTTTAGATCTTTTCTACACTGCTTAAACCTTGGGTTTCCTATCTCCCCTCTCACTTTTAGATGTTTTCTTTCCCTTATTCACAATGAAAAGAGAAACCATCAAAGAATTCCTTTACCTTAATTCCAATAAACACAAAAAGTTACGGGCAACTGCAACCCACTTTTCCTTCTTCCCTCCTCTTCTAAGAAAGTGTTTTTCCTATGTCCAAAGCAAACACCTCCACCTACACTCTGGACGTCACTGCCCTCCTATCTTCTAAGGGACCTTACCCCACCATTTCCCTCTCTTTTTTACCAGCAAACCCTCCCTCTCTAATGGCTTCCTTCCATCTGCTTTAGGCTGCTCAAAAATCTCTCATCTTAAAACATCTCAATACCACATCATCTTTCTAGCTCCCACTCTTTTCTCCACAGCCAAACTTCCCTGAGTTATATCCACTTAACCATCTCTACCTCACCTCTTCATTCCTCCACTTATGGTAAGATGTAGTTTCTACCCCATTGGGAAACCATTTTTAGTGAGGTCACCAATGATTCACTGTGGATAAGTCCAACACACACCTTTCTTTCTTTCTTTTTTTCTATTTGACTTTTAAGTGGCATTAGACACTTTTAACTACTTTTTGTCTCCTTGCCTTGGCTCTATGCCATAACATAATACTTTCTTGATTTTCTTCTTGCTTCCCTGGCTGCTCTTTCTTCATGTCTAACTATGCTGTCTCTGCTGGTCCTCTCTTCAGCTCCTAGAGCTATATGCTGAGGATGCCTGAATATCTGTCTCTAGCATGGACTCTTTCCTGAGCTCCCAATCCTTGTATTCCAGTCTACTAGACAAATACACTGGCTGGAAAAGCCATATGACTTGTGTTGAATTCTAGCTGCATCACTGGTTGGCCTTGACCAAGCACTGACATTGGGAGGTTAATTAAACTGTGCTTTCTTCACAAAGATGTTTTAGGATCATTAAAATGAACCATCATAAAAAGGTTATTGTAAGTGATAAAGCACTGCATAAACTATGCTGTTATTATTATTTTTTTTAGTTTAAAGATCATTTGGCTTTACTGTGATTCTAGAGTCATGCAATACTTCATTCCATAAAACAGAATAAATGTTCCAATGAGTTGAGCCTGTTATCTTTTTTTTTTTTGAGACAGAGTCTCTGTTGCCTGGACTAGAGTGCTGTGGCGTCGGCCTAGCTCACAGCAACCTCAAACTCCTGGGCTCAAGCGATCCTCCTGCCTCAGCCTCCCAAGTAACTGGGACTACAGGCATGTGCCACCATGCCCAGCTAATTTTTTCTATATATATTATTAGTCGTCCAGCTAATTTCTATTTTTTTTTTAGTAGAGATGGGGTTTTGCTCTTGCTGGTCTCGAACTTCTGAGCTCAAACGATCCTCCCGCCTTGACCTCTGAGAGTGCTAGGATTACAGGCATGAGCCACCATGCCTGGCCTATCTTTTAATAATAAAGATAACAGGTGTTAGCCTGTCTCAAAGGATATTTTTAATAGTTTGAAATCCTGTGAGGGTTAAGATGCTGATTTGAGCCTTAGAGCCCACTTTTGAGTTTGAGAACAAATACTCTACACAGGGGTTGCAACCTCAAATGCCTACAGGAACCAGGCAGGTAACATAAATGAGCCAAGATGGTCAAGCAAGTGATTGTGTCTTACCTGAAGAGAACAGCTGGAGGTGATTGGTAACATACAGGATTCTGGGTCCAATACTGTCTGATCTGATTTTTCTAAAGAAGTTGGAAAACTGGGTTTTTACAATCTAAGCTTTCAGTCTTTAAATGCATGTTGGCCAGGCGCAGTGGCCAAGGTGGGAGGATTGCTTGAGGCCAGGAGTTCAAGACCAGCCTGAGCAAGAGTGAGACCCTGTCTCTACTAAAAAAAAAAATAGAAAAATTTGCTGGGTGTAGTGGCACACACCTGTAGTCCTAGCTACTTGGGACGATATGGCAGAAGGATCACTTGAACCCAGGAGTTTGAAGTTGCAGTGAGCTATGATGGCATCACTGCACTGAAAAGGCATGTCTATGGGCCATTTCCCCATTATCTTATAAGGAAAGTCACCTTTTTACCCATAAATGATTGGGCATTATGAACCCTTCCAACTGGCCTAAGAGTACTTACTTCCTTTTACCTGAGAAATGTGACAGTGCAAATGAACCTTTAGGGCTAAGAAAAAATAGCTTGGAGCAGTCTGAGCTATTTGAGGCATGCAAAATTCATCAAGCCCAGCAAGAGAGGAGTATGGGACTTAAGTCTCACCCTCTTCACCCATGCATGGGGCAACTGTCATTTCGTTCCAGACTAGCATCCTCACATCATCTTTGAGTTCCAGAATTTTGTGATACAAAGAACAATGTATAGCCAATCAACAATTTGTTATTGTAATGCAACTGCCTCTTCTTTCCTTTAAAAACTCATTTGTGGCCAGCGCGGTGGCTCACGCCTGTAATCCTAGCACTCTGGGAGGCCGAGGCTGGCAGACTGCTCGAGGTCAGGAGTTCGAAACCAGCCTGAGAAAGAGTGAGACCCGTCTCTACTATAAATAGAAAGAAATTAATTGGCCAACTAATATATATAGAAAAAATGAGCCAGGCATGGTGGTGCATGCCTGTAGTCCCATCTACTCTGGAGGCTGAGACAGCAGGATTGCTTGAGCCCAGTTTGAGGTTGCTGTGAGCTAGGCTGACCCCACGGCACTCACTCTGGCTAGGGCAACAAAGCCCTAGACTCTGTCTCAAAAATAAATAAATAAAAACTCATTTTGTGCTGTGGGCTCAAATAAACTCAGTCATGTTTCCTGAATCTCATTATTTAAGGTTGACAGGGTCACAAGGACAGTCTCTGCAGTTTCGTGCAGCCCGGAGTGAAGATTTACTAGCCCGCGGCTCCCGTTACTGGCAGCTGTCCCAGCCCCGACTATGCTCCCCGGCTGGCCGCAGGTGTCTTCCACCTCCAAACTGCCTGGCTGCTCTGAGCGGGTTGACAAACACACTAGGAAAGTCGACGTTGCTACAACCCTATTCGCTAAACGTCACAGCAAACGTCGACCCCTGTGAGGCAAAAACTAAACATTTATAGAGTGCTTAACGTATCCTAACTCGCTTCTCCACCACCAGAGGTGAGAATTCTGAACCCACTGTCAAACGCGGCGCTAACAGCAAGAGGAAGACTGACTTCCCCAGGGCATGGCGGAGCGCTTAGACCACAGAAACCTGAGGACCAGCCTCCTGCAAAACAGAGTGTGGGGAACGGTCGAGCGCTGGGCTGGGGGCTAAACTACCTGGGCGGGAGTCGCCACGGCCACCCCTCCGCGTGTCTCCACTCTCGGTCAACCCTGCCCGCGACCTCCGCAGCCGGACGTTAGTCACGAGGCCGGCTACGCGGCGCGCGCGCTGTTGCATCGGTACCTCTGCGCCTGCGCGCCCAGCGGGCGTGGCGGAAATGAGGCGCCGGCGCTTTTCCGGCCACTGCCGGACGCGACGCGTCTTCCAGCGTGCATACGTCACGGCGCCGGGGCGGAAGATGGAAGAGCTACGGGCGGGCGGTTGTTAAGCAGACCCGGACGGAGCGGGACCCCTAGACGGCCACTCCGGCTGCCGGGAGGCAGTGTGCGGCAGCCGCCATGTCTTTGCTGCAGTCTGCGCTCGACTTCCTGGCGGGCCCAGGCTCCCTGGGCAGTGCTGCCGGCCGCGACCAGAGTGACTTCGTGGGGCAGACAGTGGAACTGGGCGAGCTGCGGCTGCGGGTGCGACGGGTCCTGGCCGAGGGTAGGCCCGGGTCAGCGGCGCGGTCCGGCCGTGGGAGGTCGTCGCCGAGGTCGCTGAGGGCATGGTTTGGCCGGGATGTGGGGCGTGAGTCAGGGCTGGCTCCAGGGAGCGTCACTGCCACGGCATGGGACAGGGCCGGGGAGAAGGTACATATATGTACCTCGGGGGGCGTGGATCAGGGCTGGGTCCGGGGAGGGGCACCGCCTGGGGCATGGGTAAGGGCCTGTTAGAGGTGATTGCTGAGGGCGAGGCTGGGTCTGGGTTGGGTACTTATTTGCCTGAGTATTAGGGTCAGGCTGGGACGAGTTGGTCATAGGAGGAGGCCTGGAGCTGGAGGGACCTCCCCAAGTTAGAGAAGAGGAGGGTGGCAGGCAGGGAGCTTGGGTGAGGGGACATAGTGGAATGCTGGACTCAGAAGGTGAGCAGTACAGTTGGGTGGGTGTAAGCCGTGGTTCTCTGTTATACATCTAGGGCTGTTGTGCAGGAGTGTAACAGGACTGGACTTTTGGAGAAAGGTCAAGACTGGCTCTCCAGAATTGTAAGAATCTTCAAAGTTGGTGGTTCCACACATTGTTGAGGATAGTTGCAGTCCTACCCTACCCGGGTATAGGTGGAGGATAGACAGTGCTGTGTCCAGGAATCCTAGGTTCCATCTCTAACAACCTGAGTGTTTTTCCCTTACCGGTGGACATCTGTTTGTGATTCCATGTAACTTACAGGAAGCAGAGACAGTAGTCCTGACCTATATAGAATGCATGTGGTGGACAGGTCAGTCAGCTTAAGTATTTGCAAGTCAGTCTTTAGTCAGTATTGTTTCTGTATGCCGTTTCTACCTTTCTGAATGACCTCTCCCTTCATCACTCAGAATTGATCATCAGTGTCAGTGGGGTTTTATTGTCTCTTCTGAATTTAACTTACATTTTGTCCAGTGGTGCCCAGGGTTGTGTCATGTTTCACTAGCTGTCAAGTTTTTTGGCTAAACATAGTTGACTTTGGTGCTGGAACTGAAACATGCTGTGGTGGCATGGGGAGAGGGAGTGAAACAACAAGAAAGACCAGACCCTTACCAGGTCTGTGGTAGCTCTGGGGCTGGAGGGTTATCCTGTCAAGGTGGCCACCCCACCACTGTTTGCATTTGTACTCATTTTGAGGCAGGAAACTGGCCCAAATTCCTGATGTCTTTATTCTAGAAGGCCTGAGGGGACATTCTGGCTGTACTGTTACCACTCACTTTGTCTCCACTGTGGTCAGCAACAGATTTTGGGTATGATTTGGTGAGAAAGCCCCAGGCTCCTCTCCTTTCAGAAGTGGGGGCTACTACTTGCTCTACTAAGCAAGTGTGGTATTCTCTCACATCTGTTAGAATGAGGAGAGTTCCTCCAGATCAGTTTATTTGTTCTGAAAATACCAGGCAGTTTCCTTCATTCATTAAGAAATTTGTAGTGGACAGGACCTGATTTCTGCTATGTCTAGAACATTCTACCAATAAAACAAATGCCCAAATAGCTGAGAAACAAGGCAGTATAGGGATAGAGATGCTTGGGGCCAGTATAGGTAGTGCAGCCTCTGGGAAGGGGCCAGGCAGAAGATAGCATGCCTCAAGGGGGGAAGGATGGGGAATGCCCCCTGTCTGGTGCAGGGGCCAGGAGAGGAATTGCAGATGGAAAGTGGTACGGATTGGCAGGAAAGGAAAGTTCTCATAATGAAGGAAGCTTACACAGGTCGCTTCACACCCAGGATGAACAAGGAAATGTGGGCAGTGGCTGTGGTTGTGCAAAAGAACTTGTTTCCCTTTGCTATGTAGACGAATCAGGAGATAAAAATAACCAATACAATTATGAGCTGTAGATTTCCTCCTTTTAAACTTAAGAGGTGGCTTGCAGCCCTTAAAGTATTTTGAAGCCTCTTTCAGAACTGAAACGGGTAAGAAACCCATAAAATACTTAAGTATTTTATATAAACATACTTTAGTTAGTTTTGTCTGGACAACAACCTTAGACCATACACTATGGGAATTCAGGCTGTCTTGTATAAATATGGGGAAGGCCCATAATCTGAACCTGTGGGTACCGATGTTCACAGTTTCAGAAATTTTCAGGTTTCAGAAAGATAACACAATGTATATCCTGTATGTCATGGAATACTCCCAGAGGGATTGAGACAGCATTGTATAATCGACTACATTAATGTGTCTGTAATTAAAGGAATAAATATCCTCACTGCAACATAATTAAAGTGTGTAATTAGCCCCATATCAGTTCATGTCAGATTTTATCCCAAATAAGTTTATGATAGACCAGGTTTTGCTGTCAAATGAGTTAGGAAAAAATGGTTTTCATAGAAATTTGGGCTTGTAGTATGAAACAGGTTGTTGGAGCCAGACAGCTTTCTAATGTTTTCAAAATTTGTTCTCAGTCTCTCTCTCTCTCTCTCTTTTTTTTTTTTTGACAGAGTCTCTGTCATCGGGGCTAGAGTGCCATGGTGTCAGCCTAGCTCACAGCAACCTCAAACTCCTGGGCTCAAGCAATCCTGCTGCCTTAGCCTCTTGAATAGCTGGGACTACGGGCAGGTGCCACCATGCCTGGCTAATTTTTTCTACTTTAGTAGAGATGGGGTCTTGCTCTTGCTCAGGCTAGTCTCAAACTCCTGAGCTCAAGTGCTCCTTCTGCCTTGGTCTCCTGGAGTGCTAGGATTACAGGTGTGAGCCACCACATCTGGCCTCTTTTTTTTTTTTTTTTTTTTTTAAAAAAAGCAAATTATTGGGCATACCAACAATGTTAGAGATTCCCAGTGCAAGTGTATTCTAGCATATATTTTGCGTTTTCTTGTTTTGGATTCTGTATTCTGTTGCTTCTGAAGTTGATCACCACTGCTGAGGCAGGTGTGTCCTTTACACTGGGGAGGTCCATCTGGTGTGGCCTACTTGCACTCTCTGTGGCCTTAACTGCCAGTGTGATAAACTGAGGTAGAAAGTGAAAACACAGCTGTTATATGGTTTAAGTATAAGTAGTCTCATGCTTTTGGTTACAAGTTACATGTAATTTCAGCCAGTCAGCAGCTATTTGCTTGGAGCCCTGTGTGGTGTGTGCAGTGTTAGTGTGTGGGAGGACCTCCTGCCTGCATCCTGTGGTTCCTGCTCAATAATCTGTGTTCACTGGGTGTCAGGCTATGGCCTGAGAAATGGTGAGGGTGCAGCCCCCCTGAGCTGCCAGAGCCAGCTCTTCACCCATCCGCCTCCTAAATAGATGGAGGGGTCCTCCCTTCACTGTAGTAGAGTGATCTTGGACTGTGCGAGGGCACAGGGAATATTTGGTACGACTGATGGTTGCAGAATGGTGTGGTGCTGTCTAGATTCTTGGCTGCAAGTTTCAGAAACCCACAGAGGTGAGTTTGATGGAAGGAAGAGGCCCTGTGTTGGGCTAAGATATCCTCTTTAGCAGGGTTCCCCAACCTATGGTGAGTTGTGTAATTATTTCATTATATATTGCAATATAATAATAGAAATAAAGTGCACAATAAATGTAATGCACTTGAATCATCCCAAAACCATCTCCCCTCCTCAGTCAATGGAAAAATTGTCTTCCATGAAAACGGTCCCTCATGCCAAAAAGGTTGGGGACCAATGCTGTACCGGTATCAACAGAGTGCACTGTAGATTGATCTTAAAAGTGGACAGTTAGGTGGTCTTAGCATGCTGACATTGTAGCACATCCCTCTGACCGAGAGCCCTACCCCTGAGGCTGGGTGGTATTCTCTCAGAACCTGTCCCCGGACCCAGAGACTGAGGTGCAGGATTGTTCTCACCTGGAGAGGGATGCTGAGCGATGGTTTTCTCTTCTCCAGACACCACAGAGCACAGATAACCAGAGTCTTTGGGGCTTGGGCAGTTGGCTTGAGGTCATTAGGCCCGTGTGGCCCTGTTTGTGCTAGCTTAATTGCCTCTCTCTCAGCTCTCTTCACACTACCCCTACCCCTTCACTTCCAGGTTGGCAGCTTGATCATCAGCCCTTTGTCTGACTAATACGCACTGTGAAATAATCACCACCACCACATTTGTGGGCTCTTAATATTTTGCTGGGCACAATCTGTAGTGCTTTATGTGGATTGTTTATTTTATTTTTTATTTTTTTCAGGCAGAATCTTGCTCTGTTGCCCAGGCTAGAGTGCCATCGCATCAGCCTAGCTCACAGCAACCTCAGACTCCTCAGCCCAAGTGATTCTCTTGCCTCAGCCTGTCAAGTAGCTGGGACTACAGGTGTACACCACCACACCCGGCTAATTTTTACTATTTTTAGTAGAGACGTGGTGTCACTCTTGCTCAGACTGGTCTTGAACTCCTGAGCTCAAGCGATTTTCCCATTTTGGCCTCCCAGAGAGCTAGGATTACAGGCATGAGCCACCTCACTGGGCCTGTGTGAGTTGTTTAATCCTGATGATAACCCTGAAAGTGGGTACTATAATTATTCCCATTTTACAGATGAGAAAACTGAGGTTTGGGAGCATTAGTAGCTTGCCAAAGCCACCAGCCACTGAGTGGCAGAGTGGGGCTGGGAGCCATGGGAAGGCCAGCAGGGGCTCCTTAGTGTCCTTAGGGCATAGATCTGCATCCCTGCTAGGGACAAGGTGATCTATGCATTGTCCTAGGAGGAAATGCCTGGAGTATAAAGGTAACAGTCAAGTTGCAGCATGCTTGTTTGCCATGCTCATTTATTTAAAAAAGGAGAAAAGCCCTGCAAGGTTAGTTAGCACCATGGGGTAGATCTGGAGCTGCTTGCAACCATGTCTGGGGGGCCTGGGTTGGAGCTGGGTTGTTATTTGTATTATATATTGCTCTTAATATCCTTCAGGGTCACTACCCCTTCATGCTCTGTGCTGCAGCTGGACCTTTGCAGCATGTGTTAATTACTTCTGTAGTTTCTGTCTGTTGACATATGGGGAGATCACCATCGGGGCGAAACCACTTTCCCTTCCTCCTGTTGTGCTCAGCGTCCTCCTTTTCA